ATCGGGGCAGGGCCGCTGCCCACCACTCCTGGCCCAGCAGGTCCTTCCCCCACAGGGATGAACGACGTCAGTGCATTTCCAGCTGGAAGGCACCGGCCCCACTTCCCCTCTGCCCTGGAAATGGGGTGGAAGGAAGAGCGACGCAAGCGCCTGTGTCAGGGGGTCCCTTGGAGCAGAGCTGTGCCCGTGTCCGTGTCCGTGCCCACGCAGGGCCGCTGCCCACCACTCCTGGCCCAGCAGGTCCTTCCCCCACAGGGATGAACGACGTCAGTGCATTTCCAGCTGGAAGGCACCGGCCCCACTTCCCCTCTGCCCTGGAAATGGGGTGGAAGGAAGAGCGACGCAAGCGCCTGTGTCAGGGGGTCCCTTGGAGCAGAGCTGTGCCCGTGTCCGTGTCCGTGCCCACGTACACTCCATGTGCACCCGCAGCCGCACGGCCACCCATGCTCCCGGACACCCTGCCAGCATCAGCTCCCCTGCACCGTTCCTCTCCCTCCCCTCCTGAGGGAAATGGAGGGGAGGAAGGTTGGACTTGATGATCCTAGAGGTCCTTTCCAACCACAGTGATTCTATGATTCTGTGACTCTGTGAATCCTGACACACAGCTTCCATCCACACGGTTTGGGGTTACTTTTCAGCCATGGGTCTTGCAGATCAGCCCAGCTTTCCAGTCCCTATCCCACAACAGCCCGTGCCCACCTCCCCTTCCCCAGCCCCCTCCTCTGCACAGCACCAAAGCTGAGAGCAGCCTGGCCGGGGCAGCCGGACCTCACCCCACCGCAGGCCAGCTCTTGCCACTGCTGAGGAGGAAAGCCATGTGGGAGCATTTTTGGAAGCTCTGTGGGCCACCTCGGTGGGGGTGTCTCCTGCCTGGACCCCTGGGAGCCAGCACTGGCTGGCGAGGCAGCTGCTGCAAGCCCACGTCCTGTGCGACCAGCCCTGAAACCTGGTGCTGCACATCACGGACCGACACGGGCCCTGGGGATGTTGTCTGAGGAGTGATTAACCAAGAGACAGGAGCTTATTGTCCCTCTTGCACACCCACACGTCTGTAACAGTGCTGGAGGAGTCATGCTGGCCACCCCCCCACCGCCTCGCTGGCTTCTGCCCAGGACGAGCTCAAGTCAAAGCAGCAGAGCCTCTCCTGTTGCATCCTCTCTACTCCCACGCAGTGTGCTGGGTCCATGGCACACTTTTGCCCTTGGCAAGGTGGCTCTTCCCTCCAGCAGTGCCAAAGCAGTGCTCTTAAAAGCTCTTTTCCTGAGCCTAATGCTGGATTTGGGCTCTTTCAGGATGTAGCAGGGGCTCTGAGCAACCTGCTCTAACTGGAGATGTCCCTGCTCACTGTAGGGAGGTTGGACTAGGTGAGCTTTATAGGTCCCTTCCAGCCCCAAATATTCTATGACTCTATGAAAAGGGGGGGTGGTAGGTGAAGGATCACAGTGGCAGCTGGGGCACAGCTGGAGACTTTCCTTCCAAGCTCCTTAGGCCAGGGATCGGCCATCCATCTACCTGTCTGTCCTGGTGCACCCTTCTGCCTGCCCATCCCTGTGTGTGGTAAAGCCCAGCCAACACTTCACAGGCTGAAAACTTGAGGTGGGTGAAGGAGAGAGGTGTCCAGGTTGGGCTGTGATGGCTATGTCTCCACACAGTCTCTCCTTAGAGGGATGCTTTGCCCCAGCAAATAGCCAAAGCCTTTTTAATGTAAACTCTCTTGATCAGAAGCCTGGGGAAAGTGTGCTGGGAGTTACAGCAAGCAAGTCTACTTGATCCTCAGCCTTCTTCCCACAGTTTTGGGGTGTAAAGGCTTTGGGGTTCCAAGAGCTCCTCTGATAGGCAGGCTGGGAGCTGAGCAACCTCGGTCCTTGGGCTTGACCACTGTCATGCCCCATGCCCTGCAAACCAGCCCAGGGCAAGATCAGGGTGGTCTTCCTCTTTTTAGGCGTGACTCACTGTTTCCTCTAGGTAGGCTCATGGGAGGAGGCTTCCTGGTGAAGTTTGGGGCACTAAGGGTGGCATTCTTCTGCTAAGGCCATGGGAGGAGAGTTGGTTCCCTTGGGGCCGGGCTACGTAGCCAGGGCTGTCCTAGGGAGGGGGAACACAGGGCCTCTGGCTGCTCGCTGTATTGTTCATGGATGCGTTTCCTCTTCTACCACCTTGTGCCCCTCAGATCTGCTGAAATCCAACAGCTCTCACCTGTTGCTGGCCTCAGGGGACAGGATGGATTTCCAAGCCCTCTTGGTAGATGATGACAGGGCCTGGCTGATGGTGGGAGCAAAAAACCACATCTTCCTGCTCCACCTAGACCATCCCAACAGAGAGCCAGAGAAGGTCAGTGCTGCAAGGAGAGTGGGAGCACCACCCTGGACAGGATGGTCTCTTCCTCCTCGGGAACCGCTCCCTGTTCCAGTGCTGGGGCGTGGAGGTGGATGCGCTCCGAGCTGGGAGCCAGCACCAATGGGGACACATTTACACCAGGATGTCTCAATCAGTGGGGTCAACCCACGGCTGGCGGTGCTGAGCCCCTCTGGGACAGACTGACTGATGAGGGACAAGGTGGCTTGGCCAGGAGAGGAGACCTGGCTGGACCTCAGGCACGGGTGGAAGGGTAGTGCCCGGAGCTCTGCAACCACACCGAGCCCCTGCTGCTGCTCCCAGATCTACAGCCACCCAGTAGCCAGTCCACTAATGTCATCCCAAGACATCCTGCTGGCTGGGTGTGCAGCTCGAGCCCAGCAAAAGGAAAGCCCATCAAGGCTCTGCAGCCTGGCGTTCCCACGGGCCGGCGTCCAGAAGAGCCTGCCCACTGACTGGGTGTGCCGTGGCCCACCCAGGCTCTGTCTGTCCTCACGCCAAATTTGCTCTGAGCCTATTTGGCGGGCTGCCTACTGGGCTCTGCTGGGCCCTGGCGACCCAAAGGGGTGTTAGACCTGTTGCAGAGCAGCCCCACGTCCTCACCGATCCTGGCAGCACCTTTTGGCCCAGCCTATTCCCACCCATGCCCAGGGGAGCCAGCCAACGCAGGTGGAGGGAAGCAGGGGCTACATGATGGTGGTGGTGGGGTGTCTCTGTGTTGCAGATTTTCTGGCCTGCCTCCAGGGAGCAGGTGGAGCATTGCCAGCTGGCAGGGAAGAACGTGGAGGTAAGCAGGGCTGGCAGCTCATGGCCTCTGGCAGTTTGTCGTGGATATTAAACACCCACATCATCCCAAAAGGGAGCATGGGCTCTGCCTGGGCTGAGGGTGTTGAGCCAGCCAGAGTTAAGCTCAGCTTGCCAGCTGCTGGGGCAGGATCTGGCCAGGCTCCCGTATCATGAGCGGACACACCACAGGGCTGGGCATGAGTGCCCAGACCTGGCCTCAGCCCACTACCAAACATCTCTCCTTGAGCAGACAGAGTGTGCCAACTTCATCCGACTCCTCCAGCCCTTCAACAGGAGCCACGTGTTTGCCTGTGGGACTGGCTCCTACCAGCCCGTCTGTGCCTTTATCCAGCTGGGAGCCAGGGGGAAGGTGAGGGACACCTTGGCTAGCCATGTTCCTATTGCAGAAGGTGGCAACAGACCCCTCAAGCATGTCCCCGTCCTCTTCCCACGGGGTGGTGGGGAGAGGGAGCCCTGGAGCTTGGGCAGAAGCACATGGCAAGGGTGAGGGTGCCCCATGGGGATGAACCTGGCCCTGGCAGCCCCCTCCTGCAACCCACGCACTCCAAAGAGGAGCACAGCAGCCTCCCTCCCACCCTTCTCCATATGCCTGGCTTGTTTACAGCCTCTTCTTGGGCTGACACCTCCCCTTTGGCTCTGGCAGGGTCCCGGGGCTCCCCCCATGCAGCTGGTGACCCACTCTCTGGAATCGGGGCGAGGCCGGTGCCCATACAGCCCCCATGAACCCTTCACAGGGCTCCTCGTTGGTAAGAGGCAGCAGAAGTGGAGACGATGCTGGAAGGGGGGGGATGCTGGGGGCTGCTGGCAGCAGGGCCTGTGCCCCATTCTGCTGCATGTGCTGCAGCGCTGGGCGGGTGCCCGAGCTGGTGCAGGTGAGAGGAGCCAGCCCGCAGAGCCCAGGTCTGCCCCGTCCGCCCCTGGCCCCACGGGTCCCACGCAGGATGGCAGATGCAGGTTCAAGATGGAGCAGGGGGCGCGTGGCAGGGCTAGGCGGGTTGGGGGCCAGTAGCCACGCTGAGCCACGAGTCTGCAGGAGGCTCCCAGCCAGACTGTGGCACCTCCACTCTCCTTGAGCCTCCGAGAACGCAGGGGCATGAGAATGGGTACTGCCAGGGTACCTCCAGCAGCAGCACCGCTGCCCACCACCACTCCTCTGATGCCACAGATGGGGAGCTCTATTCGGGCACATCCAGTGACTTCATGGGCAGCAGCGCTGCCTTCTTCCGGACCTGGATCCACGGGGCTGAGCAGAGCTACATCCGGACGGAGCAGAACCAGGACCACTGGCTGCACGGTAAGAGCAGGGGGACCCGTGGGGCATGGGGGGCTCTCCTGTCTGCTGAGGAGGGGCTGGGGCCAGTACTGGGGCCAGAGCTTAGCGATATGCCCTGCTTCTCCTCTCTGGGTGGAAACACTGATGAAGCCTCTGGTGAGAGCCATGCTCCGCACACTGTGCAGCCTGGGCACCAGGAATGGGGCTCTGCTTTCCAGGCAGCAGGGTCTCCATGGGGCACCCTGCGTACCCTCAGCATCTCACCCCAAGAACTTCCAAGGGAAGTACGACAGGGTCAGATGAGGGCGCAGGGCCATATTGTGCTGCTCGTTCCCCCACAGAGCCTGCGTTCGTTGGTGCCTACGCCATCCCTGATACCTACAATCCCCACGATGACAAGGTCTACATCTTCTTTCGTGAGACGGCCATGGAAGCTGGGCAGTGGGAGAGGCGGCACATCCATGCCAGGGTGGCCCGGGTCTGCAAGGTCAGTCACCAAAGGCCGGCATGCCACAGCCAGGTGTGCCACCAGGTGGGCTTTCACCTCCTCTGGGCCAAGGGGCATCTCAAGTAGGGGCCAACAGCAGCGTGCGAGGCTGTCCCCACACACCTACCACAGAGCAGGGGGCTCAGGGCTGGGGGCGTCCTGCCGCAAGGATGGTGGAGCATGTGGAGGTGGGGGATGCTTGGAGAGCTTGGTCTGAGCCTGGCTCCTGGTGCTCGGCAGAATGACGTCGGAGGGAAGCGCAGCCTCATCAACCGCTGGAGTACGTTCCTCAAGGCTCGCCTGGTGTGCTCCATCCCCGGGCCTCAGGGCACCGAGACTCACTTCGACCAGCTGGGTGAGGGCACAGCCCGGTCTGCAGCCTGCAGCCGCACTGCTCTGCTGCCGCTCTTCCCAGACGGCCCAGGGCGGCGGTCACGGCGGCGAGGACGCCCGCTGGCATCCCTGGGCTGGTGCCCCAGCTCCTGGAAGCCTCACCCACCCCTCTCTTTGCAGAGGATGTTTTCCTCCTGCACACCCGCGACCCCCAGAACCCCCTCGTCTTTGGTC